GTGGAGATCATGGTACAACTTGTGGGAGTTGGTTCTCTTCTTTTGCTATGTGGGTCCTGGCTGACTTTTTTGTTGGTTTGTTTTTCGAGACAGGGTTTTCTGTGTAACTTTGGAGTCTGTCCTGGAACTTGCTCTGTGGACCAGGCTGGTCTTGAACTCACAGAGATCCTCCTGCCTCTGCCTTTAATCCCAGTTTGGCTGACATTTATATACTTAAATACAAAAATAGGAAGAACATGGGTTGATGGGGAAAGTTACCATGTAAATAATAACAAAAAGGGAGCTAGAATGTCTATACAAATATTAGATAAAACAGACTTTGAAACAAATTATCATAAGTGATAAGGGTATTTTATAATAAGATCAATTCATCAAGAAGATGTAAGAAATAACACATATGCCAGTAATAGCCTTATTTGTTTCCTTGATGACAAACATTATGATTAGGGTGGATGAAATCTCAATATAGTTTTAATTTGCATTTTTCTGGTGGCTAGTAATGTTGAACTTTTTTTCATGTTCATCGGTGATTTTTTTTAAAGATTTTATTTATTTATTATGTATACAACATTCTGCTTCCATGTATATCTGCACACGAGGAGAGGGCACCAGATCTCATAACGGATGGTTGTGAGTCACCATGTGGTTGCTGGGAATTGAACTCAGGACCTCTGGAAGAGCAGTCAGTGCTCTTAACCTCTGAGCCATCTCTCCAGCTCCTCATCGGTGATTTTTTGAGGACTGTCTGCTTATTTCATTAACTGGTCTACTGATTGGGTTATTTGAATTTTTGCTATTTAGATTACTGAGTTCCTTATATATGCACACATCAATCCTTTGTCAGCTAGTAAAGTTTTTTCCCTATTCTGAAGGCTGTGTCTTGATTAACTGTTTCCTCATGAAGTTCCATTTATCAGTCATTAGCCTTAACTTCTTGAGTGACTAGAATCCTATTTAGAAAGTGCTTGCCCATGCCAATAACATGAAGTATTTTTCACTACTTTTTCTATAAGTTTTAGAGTTTTGCGTCTTATGTTAAAGTCCCAGAAAACTGAAACAGACCTGTCTATAAGCAGACCTAGTTACATTATGCCTGGGTATTTACCCATTAGTTATCACAGCATTTTCCACAACAGTTAAATTATGGGACCAATATAGGTATCTCTCAATCTCAACAGAAGCATGTGAAGAAAATGTGGTCATACACAAAATGAAATTTTTTGAACAATAAAGGAAATTGAGGTTATTTCATCTGCAGGAAAATGACTGTAACTGGAGATAATGATAGTAAGTGGAATAAGTCAGTTTCAGAAAGACAAAGTTTTCTGTGGGTCTTAGATTATTTAGAGATGCATAAAATTGCATATATACAATGCCACAAAAGTAGAACCAGAATTGTCTGGGGGCCGAATGGAAAGGGGAGGAAAGTGAAAGGAGCGAGTAGCCAACTATGGGGTGGGTGTTACTCAAAGTACAATATATACTTGCATGAAAATGACCTTATAGAATCCAGTATAATAAAATAAAATACAGAATAAGTGCCTTGTACTAGAGGTCATCTGATGAATTGCACCAAGTGTTTATTTAAAGAAGAAATAACACCAATTTCCTCCCCGAACAGAAGGGAATAGAATACTGTCAAGCTCTTTTCTACGAGAACAATAGTATCAGGATACCCAAACTACACGAGAAAAGAAAATAATAGTTCAGTACTCCTTAGGAACACAGATATCATAATCTTAACAATATACTCTCTGAATCCCACAATGGATTTATACTATGCCCAAGTGGGCTTTGGCCCAGTAATGCAAATTTTTATACCCAGATACATCATAAACACATTTACAAAAACTATCAATTTACATGAAAATCAATTAATGTAATATAGCATATTCATGTCAATAAAACATCAAAAGCAGCCAGGCATTGGTGGCACACGTCTTTAATCCCAGCACTCGGGAGGCAGAGGCAGGCGGATCTCTGTGAGTTTGAGCCAGCCTGGTCTCCAGAGCGAATGCCAGGATAGGCTCCAAAGCTACACAGAGAAACCCTGTCCCGAAAAACCAAAAAATAAAAATAAAACAAAAACAACAACAACAACAAACAATCATCTAGGAATAGAAAAAAAACTCCTACTAACACAATCAGTAGTTAAGATATGCCAGGTGCTGGGGTTTAATCATTTTACATTTATTAAGCAATTTAATTCTCACATCAACTCTAGGATGCAAGAAATATTATCACTTATATTTTACTGATGGATAAACTGAGGTGCATGGCATTTAAATAAAATCTCTTGTGTCAGTAGATAATAAGTCGTAGCAGTAAGATTTCCATGCAGAAATTTAAGCTATGGAGTCAATGATCATACTGGCATTTTACTGAACTAGTTCTCAAAGAATGTGGAATAAATAATAATGGCAATAAACAAATTGGATTTCCTTAAAACTAATGGTTTGGCCAGGCATGGTGGCACACACCTTTCTTCCCAGCACTCAAGAGTCAAAGAAAGGGAGATCTCTGTGAGTTTGAGGCCAATCTTGTCTACACAGTAAGTTCCAGGATAGACAGAGTTGTTACACAGAGCAACCTTGTCTCAAAAAACCAAACAACAACAACAAAAACCCAGCAACAAGAATAAAAAAACACCTAATGGTTTGATCTGTAAATAAACCTAATTCATACACTGTTAATTTATATGAGCACCCATATACTTGCAATATTAGTAATAAATTCAATAATGCTAGATATTGAATTACAATTTAAGCCATAAAATTGGTAATTTTTATTTATGTAGGTAAATATAATTTGTAGCATTGGAAAATATTAGCAATTAGTTCTAAACTTTGATGGAATTATTAACAATTCAATATCTATTTGTAACTAAAATTTAACTCATAACCACAGTACTTACAATTTGTAGTAACCATAATGTAAAAATCAGTAACTATAATAGCCACTGAAATATTAGCAATTTGATTTCTTCTCAGCATAAATACTAATCATGTATATTGACAAGCATAATTTGCAATAAATTATATTAGCAGTTACATCACATATTAGTAATGATAATTTCTAGTTGAATATATTTCAAAACAGACACTTCTAATTTGTATGCAAGCATAATTTGCGATACAGTTACATATACTTTTTGATGATGCTAGTAATGATTATTTTATTTTTATGTAGTCAAGCTACCTCAAACTCATAATCCTCCTGCCTTTGCCTCCTCAGTGTTGGGATTACAGACCCATACCACCACATCTGGCTGACTATTTGATTTCTAGTAAAAATTATAATTTAATTTATAATATTGGTACCCGCAATGTATATCAATTACAATGATTTGTAGTATTCATGAGCCTTTGTATTAATAGTGATTATATTTATGGTAATAAACAATGATTCAATTTCTATTTATAAATAATTTATAATACTGCCATTGAAACTTTTTTTTTACATGAGCCAGTTTATTATAGGCCCAGCAGAGTAGAGAGACTAAGAGAGAAGAGGAACAGGGTTAATGGCTGACCGCCATGGATTGTCGCCAGACAGAGCATAAGAGAAGAGCGCCATTGAAACTTTTTATTGCCAATTCTAGTTTGAAATATGGGTAAAATTTCTATCAGGAGGAATATTTTATAATGTTAGTAACAACTGTTTGATTTCCACATGGAATGCAATCTGATTCATTATGTTAATTCTGCTAATTCACACTAGGAACTCATATTTAATATTGGTAACAGTGAACAACATGAAAATAGGCTTTAACAAATATTGGGATCAGTGACTTCATTAATATATGTATCTTTAGGACATTTTGTGGTCTCAGGTGACCATCCCTCATCAAAAAAATCTAAAATCTGAAATGTTCCCAATTCTGAAATCTTTTGAGTGCCACCATATGCTGCACAAGTGTCATGTCCTACGTGTGACCTTATGTGACAAGTAGCAGTCAAAACACAGGCTTACTAAAAATATTGTATAAGAGTAACTTTGAGTTATGTGAATAAGGTATATGTGAAACATTAACTTGATGTTTAGAAACATATTAATTTCATGTTTAGACTTGGGTCTCTAAGACCCAATGTTAAAGTTAACCTGTAAGCCCCACCTGCCCAAGGACCAGGTAACTTCCTGGGATGTTGGGAGTTCTTGGAAAATAACAGCCAAGCTACATGGGAAAATATAGTGGCTATATTCTTAAATAGCCCCTACAACACACGTCTTGTGGTCACTCTGCTGGGAATTCCAGAAGGTGGTCCTGACCAAAGTCCATCCTTGGCAGTATTTGCTAAAGCTTGCTTCAAATTTGGCTCAAAATTGTGGAACTGGTTTTTGTTTTGTAAATCTCAGGATTAACAGGTCTCTTGCTGGAGAGATGGCTCAAGCAATTAAGAGCTCTTACAGATGACCAAGGTTCAGTTTCTAGCACCCACAATGGCAGCTCATCACTATTTGTAACTCCAATATCAGGGGATTTGACACCCTTCTTTGGCCTCTGTGGGCAGGCACTGCACGGATGTGGTGCACAAACATCCAGGGAAAGCACAAACATACATAAAATAAAAATAAATAAAACTTTAGACTTGAGTCATTTCAAAATCAAAAAAAATCTGAAATCTGAAACATTTGCATTTTCCAAGCATTTTGGACAAAGGCTACTCAACCTGTATAACAGACTTCATCACAAAGCAACTTCATTCTTCTACACTAGTGGGTCTCAAGTTTCCTAATTCTGTGACTCTTTAATATAGATCCTCATGTGGTGGTGACCCCTAACCAGACAATTTTTTTTTTTGCTACTTCAGAACTGTAATTTTGCTACTGTTATGAACTGTAATGTAAATATGAGACTCTCAAAGGGGTCATGAACCACAGATCGAGAGTCATTGCTCTACAGTTCCCACCTGTAACACTCAAATATCATACTACCAATACAGCCATTGGTAATACTGCAGTAGTTCTGACTCTTTCCCACTCTATTCTCCCAGGCTTACCATCTCTTTGTGGTTGGGATAGAAAGTCTGATCAATCAGAGGGAATTCCTCTGTTCCAAGCTTCTTGTGTAGTCGAACCATCTGGGCAAACTAGGAGAACCAGGAGACATGGATCAGTGCGTTTCTTACCTCAGAGGAGTCTCTAAACTGGGACCCCAAGTACTAGTTTGGACCTGGAATGTCCTCAAGACTCGTGTTAAAAAATTTGTCCCCCGGAGTGGTACTGTTGTAGGGTGTGTGTGGAAACTTTAAGAGGTGTGACATATGATGTTTTAGGTTGTTGTTGGGGGGTACTCTCAAAAGGAATTATAACTCCCTGGCTTTTTCCTCTCTCTCTGTTTTTCACTTCCAGTCCGCAACAGAGGGAGCTTTGTTCCACTGTGCACTTCCACCATGATGCCTTGTCTTGCTGCAAGGCCAAAGCAAGAGGGCCAATATATAGTGAATTGAAACTTTGGAAAACTGAGCTAAAATAAGCTATTTCTTTTTGTGAGTTGATTGTCTTAAGTATTTGTTACAGTGATACAAAGCTAACTCACATATTAAGTTTTTAAATATGTTTTTCTTCTTTCTTTCTTTCTTTTAACTTTTTTGTGTGTGAATTTTTTATTTGAATTAGAAACAAGATTGGTTTACATGTCAATCCCAGTTCCCTCTCCCTCCCCTCCTCACCTACAATGCCCCCCAACTAAAACCCTACCTATCATATATCCTTTCTGCTCCCCCTGGAGGGTGAGGCTTTCCATAGGGTGTCATCAGAGTCTATCGTGTCCTTTGGGATAGGGCCTAGGCCCAAACCCCCCGTGTGTCTTGGCTTAGGGAATATCCTTCTATGTGGAATGGGGTCCCAAAGTCTACACCTATGCTAGGGATAAGTACTGAACTACTACAGGAGGTCCCGTAGATTTCTGAGGTTTCCTCACTGAAACCCATGTTCCTGGGGTCTGGATCAGTCCCATGCTGGTATCCTAGCTATCAGTCTGGGAACCAAGAGCTCCCTGCTGTACAGGTCAGCTGTTTCTGTGGGTTTCACCAGCCTGGTCTGTACCCCTTTGCTCATCACTCGTCCTCTGCAATTGGATTCCTGTTCAGTTCAGTGAGTAGTTGTGGGTCTCTGCTTCTACTACCACTAGCTGCTGGATGAGGGCTAGGGTGGCATATAAGACAGTCATCTATCTCATTATCAGGGGAGGGCATTTAAGGTAGCCCCTCCTCTGTTGCTTAGATTGTTAGCTGGTGTCATCTTTGCAGATCTCCAGACATTTCCCTAGTGCCTGATTTCTCTGTAAACCTAAAATGTCTCCCTCTATTATGGTATCCCCATTCTGGGTATCTTCTGTTCTTCCCCGGACTCAACCTTTCTGCTCGCTCATGTCTTCCTCACCCCTCTAATTCTCCCCTCCTCATTCTACTAGCTCCCTCCCCCAAGTTTTTAAATATGTTTACTTCCCAAAAGAGAGTGGCTCCAGATTCCCACATGCATCCACGAGCAATTCCATCTCCAGTAGCACTCTTCTTGTCACTTACCACCCAGGGTTTGTCACAGAAGTTGTAGACAGAATGTAAAGAGTTAACACTGGGGATCCCAGCATACTGCAGCCCAATGACCAAACTTCGGTAGTCTCCATTGCGAGCCATGCTGAAGGCATGCTGGCGGATCAGCACAAAGTCTGGCTTCAGAGACCTGGGTTAGGGACAGTGATAGGAATGTTGAGGGGGGCACCCCACCAGTCGGGAAGTTCCCCACTAATCTTTTGAATTTCTAAGTATTCATAGCTTCTGGAAATTGCAAAGTGTTTTCTTCCCTCTGCTCATATGCACAAGCTGGTCTTTCTGCCTGGGGTATTGTTCCCACCCTTCCCCCATCTGGTGATTAATTCCTTTTCCGACTTTCCTATCTGCTGAAGGTCAGCTTGCAACTCTACCCACTGAGCTCTGTCATGTCCCTGGTCACAGTCTCTCAAACTCCTAGTTGTCTTCCACGCTTGCTGCTCAGAATAGACTGTAGCCTCAGGGGATGTGTGAGCTCTTCCCTCTGCCTGCAATATTTCTCCCAGCATACCTACAGGGATCTCTCCTTCACCTTCTTCAGGACATTCTTAACTGTTTCTGATGCTACCTGGCCACTCTGTACAAACTGCAAACCCCATTATCACCCAACAAGCCCCATATCTGCTTTACTGTTCTGGGCTTTGCCTTGTGATTTTACATTTTCTTATTATCTGTTCATAAAACAAGTTAAGAGCAGATGGTTCTTATATTTTTGTGGGGGTGTTTTGTTAACTACTAGGTCACTCAGCATGTAGAAGAGCTCTTGGCATACAGTAGGTGCTAAATAGATATTTGTGTCAAGTGCTGAGGATAGCAGCTAGCATGAAGTAGATGCTTAACAAATATTTGTTGAATGAACAACTGAAAAGTTTCCTTGTGGCCTGCTTAGACCCTTGGCTATTTAGGAACACCCCCCCCCCAATCACATGCTGCATCTAAGATTTTGCTCACTGAAGATGCATAGGGAGTTAGTGACTCTCCCCCAGTTATAAGGGAGTCCTTTATACCTTTTACCCTAACACTAGTGTGCCTTTTTCCTACTCACCTCACAACTTTGACCCCATTCCGAAGAACTTCCATGTCCACGGAGAATCCACCATTGGCATGAGCCACGAGATTGAGATCAGAGAATTCAGCCTGGAAAAGACAAAAAAATCAGCAATTTGCCCACATCAGGTGAGTGAAGCCCAGAAAATAGAGTTCCAAGTCCATCTGCTCAACTTACTTGCTCTACTTTAATGTCAATTTCTCCATGGATCTTCTTCCCTTTGAAATATTTTGCCCTGAAAAAAGACAGAAGGGCACACCTATCAGTGCTCAGATCTCAGACAATGAAGACCACGTCTATGCTGGTCCTTGAACCCTTTTCCCTTTCAGTGCTGGTACAGAAAACATATAATACTTTAAAACTGTAATAGTTTGTAAAAATTAATTGACAATACTTTGTGAACAATAAAGCCTATTGTAATCTCTGTGGAAGTATGTAAAGGACATTGTGAGCCGTGTTCTTAAACTATAGACAGCAGGCATGTCCCAAAATATGGTATCTCATGACATTACTCTTCTAAATGTTTCAGTTAAAGCTTTGGAAAATGAATGGTGCTGTGTCACTTATAATAGACTTTGAACTGCATGGAGGTCTGTAAATGGCCAAAAACCTCAGCGAGGATAAATACATGATATATGCCTGTGGTGTGGTATGTTTCAGTGCCTGTGTGGGTCTGGTACTTGTGTCTTCAGGGACCCAACTTGTCTCTCTGCTCTCTCCTTTACCATGAAGCACACTTTGATCATGGGTGTCATCTGCTGTAGGGGACCCAACAGTTATAGGTGAACAGTTGCATCTGAACAGGAGCAGCCAACTGAGGGGTGCAGGCTGCAGCTGGTTGGAAAGAAGCTGTAGCCAGCAATGATGGGGAGGAATGCGGCTGAGGATGAGGGGAAGCCACAAGAAGATTAGCAGGAGCAGCAGGCACATCACAAATTGCTTTGTCATTGTTTCTAGCCCCACCCCAGCTAAACTCAGCTTCCAGCAGCCTCCTCTCCCAGGCTCAGGATTCCTACCAGACAGGCTTTGCTTTGCTTTTTTCTTTTCTTTTATTTCTTTTCTTTTTCTTTGTTTTTTTTTTTGTTGTTGTTTTTTGAGGCAGGGTTTCTTTGTATAGCCCTGGCTGTCCTGGAATTCACTCTGTAGACCAGGCTGGACTCGAACTCACAGAGATCCGCCTACCTCTGCTGGGATTAAAGGCATGTGTTGTCCGGCCCATATATTGGAAATCTATTCCATTCTGCCATGAGTTCAGAGAGCCTGACTCCTATTGTCTTTAAGATGTCAGCTAATGACTCCTATCTAAATAACAATAGACCTAGGCCAAGGCGAGTCTTACACTCACTCTGAAGTCTAGGTGATATGTGCTGGTATGGAGTGCCTGAAGGCCAAGTGCAGCTATGGAGTGTCTTTAGGATTAAGGGAAGTAATTGTTATCGGCCCTTTATACATGATAATAGATGTCTTCTGCCACTGTCTGCACCTTTGGATGATTACTTAAGATAATGCATGAATAAACTGGGCACATTCAGTATTAACTGACAGTGCCCTACTGATATGATCTGATGTCTCTGTCTTTTCTTTCATGCCTATAGCTAGCCTTCCCTCATCCACACTCCCCCACTCAGGAATGGACCCGGGGCTGTTCAGCTGGTCCCAATTGAAGCCCTGAAGACATCAGTCCAAGACAATGAGTCACCACTGCCCAGGCCACATAGGCTTCTTCACAGAAGCTCCAGTGAGGATTTTCATGGAAGGGGGATGAAAGTAAGAGACACTCCTAGGGACACTGATCACTAGCATGTACACAGTCAGCAACTCTTGACACAAATACACTGTACAAATGGCCCCTGTTGGCTTCACTGGTGTGAAGGACTCAAGAACAGCTGTTTCCTTCCCCCCTTTTCTCTGTATACTGTCTCTCTCTTTTGATCTCTCTGTCCCCCACATCTGTGTCTCTAGTCTCTATTTCTCTCTCTCTGTCTGTCTGTATGAGTTTGTTTGTTTTTGACAATAAGTGTAGTGGCTACTGTAGTATTCTGCTAAGGGTCCTCTTTGGAGCCAACAAGTCTTGGTCATTTTGAAGGTTCATGACTTTGTCTCCACTGAGAATTGTCTTCTGTTATGGGCAACTGCCTTGTCCAAGGTGACACCTAATTTCCCTTCCTTCCTTCTTTCTTTCCTTCCTTCCTTCCTTCCTTTGAGACAAGGTCTCACTGTGTAGTTCTGGCTGTACTGAAACTTGTGTAGACCAGGCTGGCCTTGAACTCACAGAGATCTGTTTGCCTCTGCCTCCAAAGTGCTTGGATTAAAGGTGTGAGCCACCAAGTCCAGCAACAAATTTCTTGAATTTAGCCTCTGACCTATTTCTGGACTCAAAGTGGATATGAAGATGTGCTGGCTAATTTTATGTCAACTTGGCCAAGCTAAAGTCATCAGAGAGGAGGGAACTTCAATTTAGAAAATGTCTCCCTAAGATTGGTCTGTAGGTAAACCTGTAGGGCATTTTCTTAATTAGTGATTGGTGTAGGATGGCCCAGTCCACTATTGATGGTGCTACCCCTGGGCTAGTAGTCCTGGATTCTATAAGAAAGCAGGCTAGTTTTTGTGTACTCTTAGATTTTGCCATGTTTTTTGAGCATGGCCAACAGTGCCTCAGAAAATTGAGGAAATCAAGAACTTTCTGCTCACAGCCCAGCAGAAGGATGAAAAATCCATCAAGATCACGAAGAACAAGAAGGTCTGGCTTGTGCCTTTAATTCCAGCACTTGGGGGAAGGCGGGTAGAAGCAGGAGGATCTCTGTGAGTTTGAGGTCAGCCTGGTCTACAAAGTGAGTTCCAGGACAGCCAGGATTGTTACATAGAGAAACCCCGTCTCAAAAAAGAAAAAACAAACAAACCAAAAAAGAAGGAGGAAGCAGATAGTATGAAGTTCAAGGTTCGCTGTAGCAGATACCTTTACATCCTGGTCATCACAGACAAGGAGAAGGCAGAGAAGCTTGAACCCCTTGTGTGGCAGTGAAGGAGTTGAATTGAACTAGACCTCTGCATTTGACAATTAAAAAATCTCTAAAAAGTTAAAAAAATAGAAAGAAGGGAAGAAGGCCAAACAAGCTACAGGGAGAAAGCCAGTAAGCAGCATTCATCTGTGACCTGCCCTCTTTGAATACCTGCTCTTACTTATTTCAATGATGGACTATGATATGGAAGTGCAAGCCAAATAAGCCCCTTCCTTCCAAACTTGCTTTTAGTCATGGTGTTTCATCATAACCATGATAACCCCTTAATTAAGACAGAAGGCTAGCCTTTTTGCCTCATTCTGGGCTGATTCTGAAGGGGCATCTCAGCTCTAGAGCACCCCTCCGAGGACCAGCTGAAGCCTCTGACCTGATGATTGCCTAGGCTCTTCTCTGCTCAACTCTATATACTCTTTACAGTGTTGATATAAAAGGCATACCCAGTAGGCCTTCTGCATGAAAATTTGCCTCTTGAGTCTGTTGTTCTATGAAGCCAACCTATAACACTGGGCCATAGGTAGGAGTCAAACTACAGAAGAAGACACTTAACATGATTCCAACTGGATAATCCAGCACCCAGTTGGAAGTGAGCACCCTTAGTGGCAGGAGATTATAGCACAGACAGTCCATAATATACTGTAGTCACACAAATTCCTCTGTAGCGGGCCTAGTTTGTGATGCAATGAGGATTCCATATTATTGGGCAGGCCCTATGACACTGGAGGTGTCACAATGGCAAAAGATGAAATATGGTATTTTTTCTTGAGTGACAAAGAGTGACACAATGGGCCTCTGTTGTTTGGGAGCAGCAGTGACTTTTCCTGATGGTAGACTGCAACAGGAATCTGGTGGAGGAAAGTGAAGCAGCTGGTGAAATATCCTTGACACTTGACAGATGTGAGGGAAATGGTAACCAGATTGGAGTAACTGTTTGTTAAATGGCACTTGTTAACTGAAGACAGATCTGATATACTGACAGTGAATAACTGCCAATTCAAGGCAAAATATGAAAGGCACAGGATGCCCCTGGCTCTTTTTAAAGAAACCTTGACCTGATGCCAAAGAGCAGACAGAAGGGAGGCCCGGGCTCAGGATTTAAGTATAGTGGACAGGACAGGAGTGGTACTCCAAAGCTTGAGAAAAGCATACATAGATGATGATAGGGATGTCCTTCTGTAGGTTATGAATATATATGTGTGTGTGTGTGTGTGTGTGTGTGTGTGTGTGTGTGAGTGTGTGGGTGTGTGTGTGTGTGTTTTGTTTAGTGTTTTCTGAATAAAGCTTTTTCAGCCAATGGACAGGCAGGATTTAGCCAGGTGGGAAATTCAAATACGGATAGAGAAAGGTAGTAGGTCAGACAGACGCCAAGTAGCTACCTGGAAGGTAGAATGCCTGGATATTCTCTGGTAAGCCAAGACCATGTGGAGATACACAGATTAATAGAAATGGGTTAATAATTAAGAGAGAGCAAGTCAATAAGAAGTCTGAGCCATTGGCCAAACAGTTTATAATTAATATAAGTCTCTGTGCTTTTATTTGGGACTGAATGGCTACAGGACTGGGTGGGACAGAAACTTCTGTCTACAGATAGATGCAGGTAAACATCCTGAACTTACAGACCCGCATGAACCCACTGTACCAGCCAAAGCAGTTTACTCACTGTTTTTCGAGACAGGGTTTCTCCTTGTAGCTTTGTAGACCAGGCTGGCCTTGAACTCACAGAGATTCCCCTGCCTCTGCTGTCCCGGGTGCTGGGATTAAAGGCATGCGCCACCACCGCCTGGCTAGTCTACTCACTTTTACTACATAGAAATCTTCCTTCTCATGAGGACAATGCAAAAGGCCTTGAATGAAGCAGGTACCTTAGTCAATGCCTACCCTGCTCAGGATCTATTCCCAATTACTACCCTGGAAAACCGATCAATAACTAGATCTTGCTCACAGTGAATCCCCTGGACATAGAGACACACTAATGTTCGTTTCCATGACTGACCCCAGTGGGATAACAGCTATTGCAGAGGAGAAGTTCAAATAGAAACACCTTCATATCCCTACCAAAGTAGTAAATCAGGGCTGGGTATATAGCTCAGTGGAAGAACACCTGCTTACTATGCATGGGGTCCTAGGTTTCAACCCCATCACTGGAAAAAAAAAAAACAGAACAAAACAACAGTAAATTGAAAGCAATGCTGTATATATTCTGGAGGAGATGGTAGAAAATGGGGCCACTCAGAAAGATCTGGAGAGGATGCAAGGGCACTCGTCTCATCATTTCTCCACTAAATTAACCAGTTGTGTCTCTGAGGAGACTGGACAGATCCAAAGAATTCTTGTAGACTGCTGCAATCCCTGTCTGCAGCCACCATACTGGACATGTTATCATTATAGATTAATAAGGCATCAAGTATGGCTGGCAGCTATCAATTTGGCACATTTGATTCTTCAATTCTGATCAGAAAAGAGGACCAGAAACAGTTCATGTAGCTCTGACATGTTTGTCGATGGTTTTTCCATGGGGCTATTTTCTTTCTCTCAACCTACACTGTAATATAGTCCAAAGGAATCTGGACCATCTGGACATCCCACAGAATATCACACTGGACCATTATATCAGTTACATCATACTGATTATGCAAGATGAATAAGAGATGGTTAACATATTGCTTTGATAAGACACATGTGATTTGAGGTGGAGATGGTAGCACAGCACTCAGAGGCCTAAAGCAGGAGGATCACGAATTTGAGGCCAGCCTAGACTACCTAGTAAGTTCCAGGTTGTTCTAGGTTGCATAGTAAGATCATGTTTCTCATGAGCTTGAGAGGGCAGGAGAGAAACCATTTAAAGACCCAGGTACCTATCATATTAGTAATAATTTTAGGGACCCAGTGACCAATAAGCATTTCAGGACAACACTTGCACAGAATAGAGCAAACCTTTGCATTTCATGCCCTTTACTGTGAAAACAGGCTTCTTTCAAGTTGTGGAAACATCATGTTCTACATCTGGACCTATGTTTCAGGTGACATGTAAAGTTGTCAGCTCTGAGTAGGGATAAGAACATAAGAGGGCTCTGTGGCAGATCAAGGATATGGTACAAACAGTCCTGCCATTTAAGCCATTTGACCTGGCAAGTCCTCTGATACCAGGGGTGTCAGTAGTGGAAATGGATGCAGTGTGGAGCCTAAAAGAAGCCTAAGTATTTGACTCTCAGAGTTCTGGAGCTAGGCCATGCCATCTGCAGTAATAGCTTGGATACCTTTGTGGTTGTTGTATTTGAGATAGGGTTTTACTATGTAGCCCCATCTGTTTTGGGACTTGCTATGTAGTCCAGGCTGGCATTAAACTACTGATCCTTTTATCTTAGCCTCCTGATCTCGAATTTCAGGAAAGGGCCACCCAACATGCCTGGCTAAGTTATATGCTGTCTGAGAAACAAATTCCACTGCAGTATTTCTCTCTGATACAGACAGAATGCTTGACCACAGGACACCAAGTGACTGTGCACCCAAAACTCTTTATGAGCTGAGTGAGGCCACATTCACAAAGCAATAAAGTCAGATTTTTTGGGCAATGGTGAGTAGCTTGTCTGGTTGCTCAGGGGCCAGGAAGAAAAATGACTGGAAGATCTTGACAAGGAGATCTGAGGTACAGAACTATGTGTGAACATATGGGAGTGGGCAAAAAGGGAGGAGTGAAGATCTTTGTACTGTGTGCTAACACCCACTAGGCTTCATCCACCATGGAAGTGGTACTAGGCAACCAAGTAGATAGGATGAGTCAGCCAGATGATGTCAGCCAGCCTTTAACGAACATCCCAGTGCTAGCAGATGGGCGCACGAATGAAATGGCAACAGCAGCAGAGAGAAAAGCTATATATATATATATATGGAGCTTCCAGTCTTCCAGCAAAAGAGATCAACAGTGAATCTTTGATATGACACCATACCTCAAGACTAACCAGCCACTTGGAACAAGCTGACTGCATTGGGCTTCTATTATGTTGGAAAGAACAGTGATCCATTTTGACTAGCCGTTTTCATGTATGGTTTGCCTTTTCATTTTCTGACCAATACTAGCTGTCCAAGGGTCTAAATCATACTTGATTCCCAGCAGCATGGGATCTCATATAACATTGTAGCAAACAAAAGTACACATGTCATAACAAAGTAAAGGAAGGCAAAGAGGTGCAAAAGTGGCCTATGACTATGGAATCAATCAGCAAGGTTCCATAACACACCACCCAGAGGTTGTTGGTCTGAAAGAATGAAGCCATAGATATGACCTCATTTTAGAGATGACACCATGCAAGAATGGGCATTACGTTCCTAAAGGCAGTGCAAACCCTCAGTCCATGACCATTGTATATGCTGTTCTTCTAATAGGTAGAGCACATGAATCTGGGAAGTCAGAGGTCACAACGGGAATAGCCCAGCTTACCATCAATCCCAGTGATCCACTTTTAGAATCTGTGCTTCCTGTTCCCTCAGGGTTCTGCAAGGTTAGAGGTCCTGGTTCTCCAAGGGGGGACACTGCTACCAGGGGACATAGCAAGAATCCCATTAAACTGTAAGCTATGATCACCACCTGGGCACTATAGGTTTCTTTTGCTAAGTAAAGAGAAATCACTAGCAGAAGAATGTAACATTGATTGCTAGGAAGGAGGAGGTAGGGTTGCTGGTACACACTGGGAGCAGTAAGGAGCAGATTTGGCACCCAGGCCATCTATTTTGACATCTGTTGGAACTCCTTGTTCAGCTTTCATGGTAAAAGCAGCCAGAGTCTGAGTCAGGTGTGGGGACACAGGCTCAGGGATCCTTCAAAGATGAAGGAATGGATCACCCACCAATTAAGCCACTGAGACCAACAGAGGTGCTAGCTGAAGGTGAAGGGTCTGTCTTCAGGGAAGTCTATCTAAGAAAAGAAGCCACAATAAGAAACACAGTTTACATAACCCACTATATAATATTTACATAACTCATGCTATACACACATACACACACACACACACACACACACACACACACACACACACACACACATTATATAAGACCCACATGTTTTACGACAAACAGGATTCAGATATGCCTTATATAATATATAGTACATAAAATATATATTATACATGTCTCTAGGATATATAATAGAATATACATAAGCATACATATATAATTGGAATTAAAGTTTCAACTTGTCATAGTCCTACACATTGCTAATCCATCACTTGGGAGATGGAGACAGGGGAATCATGAATTTGAAGCCAGCCTGGGTCACATAGCAAGGCTCACTTTCAAAAAAACAGTTTTGGTAAATAATTACTATATGCAATGCAGTTTTGTATTTCCTGTTCTATTTTATTCCATTTTGTGAAGAAAATCCTATGCTTACAGATGCATTATACAGTATAAAGTCATTATGTACCACATGCAATATTTAGTCTATGTAATATATAATATATATTATGCATAATATATCATATATATTATTGAAATAGCAGTCTTATTACATATGCTTACTATGTAAAACATACTCTGTTCTCTATTTTCATTTATCTTGTTTTGTAAAGAAAGTGGAATGCTGGTCATGGGCAATAGGTGACCCACAGATTGAAAAACACTGGACCAAATTATCTCTAAAAAGTAGAGATGGGGCAGAGTATAGTGGCACATGCCTGTAAATCCTAGCTCTTATGAAGAGGGTGCAGCAGAATCACAAGTTCAAGGCCAACCTGGGCTACACAGGGAGACCATGCCTCAGAACATTAAAAAATTAAATCCTCTCTTCTTAGAGGATGCAAATTCACAGCATGGAGGCTTAGGAAGAAAGAAGGGTGGTGAAGACTAGAGAGATAGCACCAGGCTATACACAGGTATGCATTTATCACAACATTGTAAAACTCCTCTTTTATTCCAATTTGAAATCCTCAAAGCTTTCATGGTTCTGAAAGTCTGCAATTTCTCTTTTCCCATATTGAGCCTCGTATACTTAGGCTCTCTCCTATTAATGTCATTATATACCTAGAAGACACTAAATGAATATTTTCCAAGTTGCCTAGAGGAAAAAGACTGAAAAAGCTGTTGGAATAAATGGGGGCTTCTGGAAGGCTGAATGAGAGGGGGACTAGTCTTGCTGAGTTCAGTAAGTATTCAATAAATGTTTGCTGGAGATTAGAAGAAAAATAGAAGGCATTAGATTGCAATTACAGAAAAGAGAATGGACACCAATATTCAGTTGAGAAACTGGTGGAAAAGGCAATTAAATAATCCATCTGCAGGATTGAAGCAGGGAAGCAACATCTACCAATACAGGCCTCATGTTAATGTTTGCTGAGTTCAATAAAACAAATGGAGCCAAAATGACAGTGCCTTGGGGAACAGTTAATAGTGAAGGAATCATGAATTGTGCTCAATACACATTTTAAGGGCTGCTGGAGGAAAAGTTGAACAGCCTGCTGCATCAATGAGAATGTGGTTACCTGGACAGAATACAGCAAGAGATTAATAAGTGCTTTCTGGATTGATGGTTGAGGTGAAGGACTGCTGGAGAGGTGCCTGCATAGTGTGTGGGGGACAGGATCTCCTCAGAATAATGGGGGAAAGTGGATTATAAGGTGTTGTTCAAAGTATACAATTTGTGCACATTAAATGCTTATGGGAATAAGTAGGAGAGGTCTCGGAAATTCAGGTAGTGGTTGGGATGAGAAGAAAGGGGAGCTGAGGGAGGGTTCTTCCTAGTATAGAGAAGTGGTTAACAAATGCATCCCCCATTCTGTTACATAGAAAGTATACAATAACTATCTTTAGAATGGGTTAAAGGTCTTAAATAGAAAAGATGGCATGCTAAGGGCCTATGAGGGAGGGGTGATCAAAATAGTAAACAGATGGTACTCAATAATTTTGAGTGAAACAGATTTCTGGAGTGTGAGCTCTTAAGGCAGTGGCAGGAACTTCCAGAGACCTGGAAACAGGAGACTGGGGATGACTCATACAGTTGGTTCTCAGTAAGTGTTGACTGGCTTAAATACAATAACTGTCTTGGTGTAAGAGTTTAAGGTTGGGGAGAGAGACTCCTAGGGGGCACTAAAGTGAATGAGAAAGGGGTAATTCTTATATAGCAGGTTCTGGGTTAATTGGAGGAAAGCTTGGAGGACAGGCTTTGTGGTAGGGGCAAGTTTTCCAAGGGGTTAATGAAATGTACTCCCTATACACAACAGGTACTGCGTAGGTGCTGACCACATCCAGTGCTAGTAAAGGCAGATGAGGAACAGGCATAAACACACAGGAGATCCCCCTAAATGCTCCCAGGAGCCACTGGAGGAAAGGGTCTTTGGAGGAAGGTCATCAGACTGGAGCTCTGAGAGGACAAGAAATCAGTGTTCACTGACTCTATTCACAAATGACCTTTGGTGAGAAAGGCTAGGGATGAATGCAGAATTGTTTGATAAAATGCACTGGATTCTTGGAGGAAAAGCCCATGGAAAGGGGAAGGGGTTGCAGAAACTTGATCTAGGCAAGTACAGTTCTTTATGCAAGGAAGATTTTTGTGGGGAAGGCGAAGAGCAGGTGCTCCATAAATGCTCTAAGGAGGGATTAAAAGAAAAGCCTTTTG